ATAATGGTCCTAAAATGCAGTTTATTCATATTTATATACTTCAAATGTCATTAAACAGAATAGAATAGAAAGCACTCAAATACTTCAATTGTACCGAAAAAAGCTTAAAAAATATATAAAAATACATTTTAATGCATTAAATAATGGTCCTAAAATGCAGTTTGTTAACATTTATATAGTTCAAATGTCATTAAACAGAATAGAATAGAAGCAATTAAATTGTACAGAAAAAGCTTGAAAAAGATATAAAAATACATTTTAATGCATTACATTTCTCTTTAACATATTCAATTGCTGATGGGGAAACGAAGTACTTCCATATTTAATAGATGTAGAATATATAGAATAGAAACGGAAACGAATCATTATATAACATTGCATTATCAAATAAGGAGAAAACGAACTCTGATGAACGAAATACAAAAAAAAGGATTACTCTAGTTTATTTTAAATATTTTATTTATATAGGCCCTAATATTTTATTTTGTTTCGGGGTCATTCGATATATATTTTAATAGGTTGAATAAATAATTGCATCAGAACTTGATATTTTAATTATATTATAAGATATTATAATTCTGATGGCATTTAGCATATGCCACGGATCATTTCATGCATCATAAAATAAACCATATTATTTTAAACAGGCTAGTGCAAGAACATGTTAAAAACGAGAAATTAAAGATCTTTGCAACAAAAAAACGAGCATGCACAAAAAGTCTAAATACACATTCAAATATGTATGCATTCGTTTCATATCCTACTTTGCGTGATGCGTAAAAGTGATGTTACCTGTTAATAGTGGCGAGCGGTTGCGTCATGTTGCTGTAGAGCATCGCTCGTGCCGGGAGAGGGAAAGCGGGCGGACTCAACTGCACCATTCGAGTGTCGCTCAGCGGGTCTCTGGGAGGCAGCGGCAGTGGGATCGGTGGTCTGCACAGCTCGGTGGTCTGCACCTTATGGCTGATGTCTGCCTTGAGCTCTCTGCCTTTTATATCCGCGCTCCCTCCTCTCCTGGACAGCTCGATCACCGCCACTTCCTTTTTTAGCTCGGTGGCGTGGTGAGCCGTTTCCTTGGCAACTCCATTAAGGACTCGGCGCTCCTCGGGGAGGTGATGCTCCCCTGTCTCTGCCTTCGTGCCTTCCTGTTTCCCGCATGCGTCCCCCTCCTCGGGCGGGGGGGAACCGCAGCCCTCCGTGCTCGGGCTCAGCGGAAATTGCTCGGATTTCAGTTTTTCCATCATCCTTAAGTCCAGCTCCAGAAAAAATCCAAACGCTTATAATTAGTGGTATCCAAAGGAAATTGTAATTCCCAACCAATCCAGCGCCTGTTTAGCTTCTCATCGGAGGTCACCTGTGAAAGCACACACCTTTATGCACATTGATTGAGCGCCAGCGTTATTACGCGCGTCCTCGCTGCGCGCGTGACTGGAAACACTGACAGTACAGTAATGCAGCTCTATGACAGCACGTGTCATGTGTGTGTCTCACACAACTACTGTATCCATGCAAAGGCCTGTGCCATCCATTATATGAGGATAGACCAGCAGGTTTGCCTAAACGCTCAAATATCTTTTAGGATAGTGTCTTTTTCCCCCGTGACTTGACCTTGGCCTGCCTATATCATCATTCTCCTCATGGTATCTGGAGATAAGCGTGTCATACCGGTGTCTTCGTTGGAAAAGAGCTTATCTTCTGCAAACATTGTTCGACATTTATTTAACAGAAAATAATCTGCATAATTATTACAGGACGTATTCAATAACACCTTTCCATATTAGCACATTTTATCATATTAGCCTACATTTTAAATGACCAACTTTAATATCATTGTTATTATTTTAACATTAGGCTACTCATATAATTCATCTATTTTAGCATGATTTCATGTATATCAATATTAGCTATTTATTGTGGTGGTGGTGATATTACTGTCAATAATTTATTTGCGTCTTTTCATTTTTTTTTTTATTGAACCTAAAACGAAGATTTTTACGTGAGTAATTGCGTCTATTTTTGAACATTTTATTATTATTGCATGATTGTAATGTTATAAATATTTAAATATATATATTAACTTTTTCGTTCACGGTTTATGTTTATAACGGCATTTGTTTGTTAAAATCGGTTGCAATATTTTTGTGCATGTTACTGGTATTTTGTAATGTTTTCTTTCGGTGGCATCTATGACTCTTAATGTATTGCGTGTAATAATGTGTGTGTAAACATAGACTACAAGATGGCTAAATATTAATAGTACGTCATTCCCAGTTTACACACACTTCTACATTAAGCTACGTCTTTCTGTTTCCTCCGTATAGATATAGTTTATTAATAATGTATTTTATCGTATTTAGATGTATTCAAATACTCAGAGTGATTTAACAAAACAAGCTGATTACAGCATTAATAACCGACCAGATATATAGGACGAAAAAACGTTACGTGTACGGTGTCAAATAGACTAATAATTCGGCTACAAACTTAAAAAACAAATAATTCATATTTATCATTTAGGAATTAAATTGACCAAAATGTCAGCTTTAGTTTAATAACTGGGATATCGATGAGATTAGTTCATTTATTGGTGGAGTTATGGTGGCTATTATTTTTAAGCACTAGACGGAAAAGAGGAAAATAGCAGCCGTGAGGAAAATCGAATCGAAATGAATTGAATTTCTTAACTTTAGATGAAACGATCATGTCCTAAACGCCATTTAATTATAGAATAAATGGCAAATCGATATCTGCATTCTGCAGGCTCAAGGGCCTATTTGCTCCAAGACCGAATACAGCCAAATATAAATGATATAAATCCTACCTGAGCTTATATTAATCATCTGGCGTCGATAGAAAGCCTAATTATGACCTGCGTTAGTATCAAAGGAGCGCAGAAACACCAATATTCGCCTCTTACCGTCGTCGGGCGGTGGATGTTAGTGTGTGCATGGAGCCATTTTGTGGAGGGTCATCCATGTCTGAGGTTTTAGATGCACTGAAGTGCTGTGTGGAACTGGAAGTGAGGTCTATATAATTCCACATCACGTCCAGCGCGCGCTTCTCAGTATGGGGAGCGGAACACTGGCGCAATGTGGCCAGGCGAGATAAGAGCGCAGTGGCGGCCACTGCGCGCTCGATAAGCCCCTAAACCCATTATTTATGAAATGATTCATTATTATTTAGCTTTTTATCGAGGGCAAATGCGAAGAGAAAAATATAGACTTATATTGTGAATGGATATGCATTAAAAAAAAACTCAGCAGATTGAGGGGGGGAAAACCCGAATGCGTAATATTGTTGAACTGCTTCAGGGGCTCAATCAGAAATTAATTATGCGGCCAAAAGTAACACATTTTCAGTGATATCAGCTGGGGATGTAGGCTTGAAAAGTACCATTAGCGGCTGTTTGTTTTTACATATTTCAGCGTTTTCGGGCGTTCAGAATCTGGAAATCGTGTAGCCTAATATATGACCCTCCCTCACTGAGTAAAACATGTTTATGAAGGTAGACACGAAAATGAACTACCCTAACTGTTGTGAATACTGCACAGACATAATTGCTGTTTTTAATGATTATTTCAGGTGACGTTCGATTAATTCTTCAAATTTATTTTGTCTCATTTATAGCCTGTTTTAAAGTACACATTTTTTTTTAGAACAGTACAAATACATGTATTTATTAAGGATGCGCAATATATCATTATGGGACAGTCAGCATTATGTTAATATTTGCTTTGGTCCATAAGCAGATTCTGATATTTGAATTTTAGGCTCTTGAAATAATTCTATTTTATTACTGTGTAGGTTTACAATGTTTTGAGGCCTTATTGAACTTAAAGCATGTACACATTTTAAACTGGAGCTTTAAACACTTAACGTGTATTTATATACAATTGCACATATTTAGCCTACACTCCTGGGGAGAAAAAAATGGGCCACGCCCAAAATGGTTAAACACTAAGCTTTTAATTGCCTTGACCACAAATTATTGGTAAGGAAGTTAGCTAAATTTATGTAAATGCACTACTTAAAAAGCCATTGCTGTCTCAGACAAACATCAAAGACAGAATGAGTTTTTGGCAGAATATGGGAAGTTGTGAAAATGGGAAGTTGCATGGTGATGCTCCAGAGTGGTGTCTTCAAAAATCTGCTGAGAAATATAATAATATGTGGGGAGCCTTTTAAGCTGCTGGTATTGGTGAGTTACATCACTGTGAAAAGTCATTTAATGCTTCGGAGTACAGGAAAATATTACAGAATAGCTTGCTTTCCACAAATTAAAAGTTGTTATCTGAGGAATGATCTGATGTTATTGTTCAACAAGACAATGCTCCTGCCCAAATTGCAAAGACAACCAATAAGTGTCTTGAGAACAAGTCCATCAGGCTCTTGTTTTGGCCTGGTCAGAGTCCAGATTTGAACCCTATGAATATTTTGGTCTTACATTAAACTCAAACGAACTGGGAGACAAAAAAAAAGTAAATTATAGGCCCATTAAATATTTTGCCATTTTTGGCTTGGCACTTTTTTTTTTCCTCTTTTCTTTTTTTTCCAGGAGTGTTATATTTTATATCACTATACACATTTTCTCGTTTTATGTGTGTTATTTTATATATATATATATATATATATATATATATATTGGCCATAACAAATTAGTTATAGGCTATGGGCCAAAATGTCAAATTGATGCATCCAAATAAAATTAATATAACAATAGACTATAAAGCTTGACGACTTCTATATTTGTAGCTTAATGTAGCCTAGATATTCAGTAAGAAATTTGAGCGAAAATATACACGTTATCATTTTGTCAATCAAATGTTTTTCTCTGTAGCTATGTGCAAATGAGTATACTGAAGATGTTATGATGATGAAGATAAAGCCCATTAGTTCGTCATCATCGTTGTCAACACATTTATTATATTATCCAATATTAACACAGATAACTGAAACTGTCAACATTGGAGAGGGGTGTCAGGTATAGAGGAGAAGGCAGTTGATAATAGGCTATATATCTTCATGAATGAATGTATGAAATACACGCAGGGAAATCAGTTCCATCATCTAAGAGCCTTTGATCTTGGGCCTTTGTTAGTTCATTGCCACGGATTTTGAGTGATTTGGGAAGGATGCCCTGTGAGACTCGCCCGAATTTGGTGTAAACCTCAAAGGACCACCTTGCGGAGAGCGATAAGACGGTATCAGTGAGCCAGCGACCCCGGGTTCATCCATCAGACAGGGATGAGAGCCATTGGGTGTAGCTAGTGCTTTTCGGCAGACACTACCACCATGACGAGCTTTCCCACACATTTCCTCAACCCAATATAAATCTGCTCTATTTACTCGCATTATTTCCAGGTGATAATAATATAAACACCCAGCCCGACAACATTAAATTGACCTTTTCAAGATGCAGAGCAGACTATAACCATCTCATGATGGGCTCAAATTGACCCTTCACACTTGAGGTAGCCTAAGTTCTCATTGAGTTCTTCAAACTTGTAAACAACTAGACATTTTCGGCTCTCTGAAATGCTATCTGAATTTTTACTCATTTCCCCATAAACAGGAAAGGGGTTGTTCTGTTCCACGCCTGTTGTTTCTAGACTCGTGATCCGATGATGATCTTCATTACCTGTCACGATTCTCAGTGCTCAAGGACGAACTAGTCGTGAACGCGCGGCTGATGTCACGACCAGCTTCCTGCAAGCCTCCCTGGTGAACGGGTGAGTTATGGGTGTTTGACTGCAGCACTGCGCGAATCACGATGTCAAATTATTCATCACCACCACATCCCAAAGGAAGTCGAAACAAAATGTTTAGGACTTTAAAGTTTTTATTTCAACTTACACAAATACGTAAACAGTTACAAATCGTTTTTACGTAGGCCTAATCAAAAAATCAATTACAATTTGAGTTAGAATGCGCTAAACTAGCCATAGGCTAACGTTAGTTGTCGCCTGAGGTAAACATAGCAACTGTTTGGTGCGAGCGACAAAACATAACGTTAGTGTTGATAAGGCTACAACTATAGCTATGCCTGGGCTATCTGCACACAAACAAATATCCTAAATATAGTCTAAAACGACGGGCTGATGGTCAGTGAAATGTCCAAGGGACACGCACAAATGTTTTCCTCAGACAAATGTCCAACCGATTATTAACCGACATTAATTTGCTGCAGATGAGATAATTTCAGTTTTAACAGAACAGATAGACCGCGGCTATAACTATAAATGTAATGGTCTAAAATTATTTTTAATAATGTATTAAAAATGTTTTTTTTTCAGTAGCCTAAAATAACTCAAAAAATGAGTCGAGTAGGCTGCCACTGGTTGCCGTTTTTGGTTTTGATTCATTATAAAGAATCGGCTCATAAGAATCATTCGTTCAGGAATCGGACTACCACTAATTTAGTCGCCCTGTCTGTTGTTGACTCACTGAAAATAACCTGCTCTTAAGAATCATTTGTAAAGGATTCGGACTATGCCTATATCCCAGACTAGTCCAGTTAAATGTAGTAGGCTAAATCCAGATTACATTCGTACTAACCATAGAACATACTTTTTTATTAGCGGTCCCGAAGTAATTACTTATTCAACATAAGTATAACGTTAGCCTACCTACAAGAGAGTATGCGATTTCTTACGCAGCCTTTATTCACTATAAAAAACCGGTTCGTTGTTCATTCAAACTGTTGTTGTTATTTTTTTTTTTTTTTTTACCTAACTTAAAAACAGAGGGAAGGTTACAATGAAAATCACGCCCTCTAATGGAGGAATTTGATATTGGCTGCATGATGAATTCTCAGAAAGTGTCTCTGCAAATGTTCTCGATGCTGCGTCGCCCTCTTATGTTTAGATCCCGTATGACATGCACTCTTTACTTAGCCTGTGTATTTCTGTAATAGCTGTTTATGTGGAGAAAATAATGAAGTACTGAAATTATGCTCAAGTTACGGGATATAATTTATGTAAAGGAAAAAGGTTAAAGGGATAGTTCACTCATTTCTTTCTTCTGCTGAACACAATATAATATATTTTGAAGAATGTTGGTAATCAAACAGTTGATGGACCCCATTGACTTCCAAAATATATAATTTCCCATACTATGGGAGTCAATGGCTACCGTCAACTGTTTGGTTTCTGACATTCTTCAAAATATCTTCTTTTGTGTTCAGCTGAAGAAAATAATTAATACACGTTTGGAACAACTTGATGGTGAGTAAATGATGACAAAACTTTCATTTTTGGGTGAACTAACCCTTTAAGGTCATTTTTCTATTATTATTATATATATATTTTTTTACATTACAGGTCAGACTTCATCTACTTTATATGTAGTTTTACTTATATGCTACTCTTGACCGTTTAAGACGTGATGATATAATATGAGTTTATTCTGTACAAATAATAATAAAAAATCTCTATTAATTCACAACGAAGTCCACCCGGGAAAATCAAAGCTATTAAAAATTCAGTCAGTCAAAGAGCTGTTAGGATTAAGTACATTTTTATGTCAAGTTGTTTCTTTGGTAGATAAGTGTTTTTAGAACAGTAGATCTTTGTGTTTATATAATATGTGATCAATAATCTGCATGTTCTGTGTCTCGCGGGTACCCAAAATGTCCACTAGATAGAGCTATTCACTAAGCTCCTCCTGCCTTTGTGTCCCGTCTTCAGTCCGTATAAGGTCATGCAGTTTGTCTTCACTAAAGAGAGGAGCTTTATGGAAAGTTGTTTTCACAAGGAAGACATTCTTTCCACTTAAACCAGGTCACGCCACCCCTCTTTTAACATATTTGGCTTGTGCAACCTATTTAGGATTATGAACGAAGTAGGATTATGGACCTTCATATAAGACACATTAAGTCTAATCTAACTATTGACAGATTTTCATTTAAAAAAAACAATCCCCAAGTGCAACATTGGCAAATACTGCTTGATTTTGTGTATGACACACACAAAACTTGAAGTTATATAATCTATAGCCAGTTATTTCCAGTGCTCTAAAACAGTGTTCTTTTGTATCTCTGAAGGTTTTTGCACCAAAGGGCGTCTGCAGAATCTCTCGTTACAGAGTCAGCAGAATTAGTTGCGTTGGATGTGGCTATTGCAAACCGTACCACAGTATCCCACAGCTGGCACAGTGTAAGTGGCACAGCGTCATAGAGTGAGAGCGAAGAAGAAATGAGGTCATGAATAAACAGAAGTGAATGGGGTCAGTGTGCTGTTTTCTCCTCAGGTCCTAGTACAGAGTATTTTTTCAGAGCCTCGCTTGGCAAGAGGTTGAGTGTGTGTTCCTGCCGTTGTGGGTGTGGAATTGCTTGATTCACTGCTGTGATTTACAACATTAGCCTGCACAAAATATGTGTAGCCATATACCTGGTATTACCAGATGGTGTCAGTACTGAATGATTACCATATTCATGCACTGTTATTTATATCCCTTACAAAAGAGTAATGCAACTGTATCATGGTAATGTTATAGTAAACCAGGGTATTTATTTTTGTACTATGATATTTACATGCTACTCCAATAATACCACCATGATACATGCCCTAAATATTTTAGTTTACTTCATCAGTTACTTCAGGAAACACCATAGCAAAACATGGCATTAACATGGTAATTGGCAAAAAATTAAATGTGCATTACCCCTGCAAAATATATGTTTTTGTGGGAAGTTGTACTAGCACAGTAAGCAAGCACAGTATTTTGGACATGTACCATGGTAGTACCATGGTATTCTCTGAGCTACCATGGAACATCATACAAAAACGATACAAAAATGTCAGTGCCATAATATATTTCAAAGTATACTATATACTATACCAGCACTGTACACTTTTGTAAGGGTACTATGGTGTCATGCCCATTGAATCCATAGTTTTACTATAGTACAAGTCCAAAAAATATCATGTTACGTTACGTATCCATGAATCCACAGTTATGGTAAATGTAAGGAATAAATGTACTATGGTACAAACATTAGAAATTATAGATAAACATAGAATTGCATGACACAGGTCCAAAAAAAACATGGTATAAGTAAGTCATATGAAATGAACAAAATCACGTCTGGTCTGTAGGAATTTCCCCTTGCAACCGCAGTAATCCTATGACTGTTTACATCAAACATGCCATGCTGTGCACTCTCCGCATTCCAGGTATTGTGGGTCATTATGGAGCATAATTGTATGGTGGGGGTTTAAGTGTAGGAGGTAAATAACGAAGGATGAGATCATAAGCCAGAGGAGTGTGTGTCGTGGCTACAGATGTGCGCTATCGCTCTCTCTCTAGCTCTTATCTCTGCAGGTTGAGAGAGTGATTCATCCATCAGCTTGGCGGGCGGCTCGGTCTGCTGTTTCTCAGCTCTATAAATACACAGCCCACGCTAAATTTGATGCTGAGGGGGCGCTGCTGTCCAAGTACAGTTACCTCACAAGCGTGTGCATGTGGGTCTTTCACCTTTCCACGTCAATCTCTGAATCACCAGCCAGGTCACTGCATTCTTTTTTTATCACTGCGCATCCTGGTGCATTTTCTTGGAGCGGACTGGTGTGCAGAATCCAGTCTATTTAAAACACAAGGTTGAGTGGCTCTGCGTGGGGGAGGCGGATGTGTCACATTGCTTTATGTTCATAGATGATCTGCCATATTAGCATGCCTGCTACCCAGACAGCCTCTGATTATGTTTTGGCTGGAGGCGTGATGAAATCACGTGTGTTGGTCTGTGCACGCAAATGTGTGTCTGAGTGCGCGCATCTCAGGTGTTGAACCTTGACCTCCGGGGGGTCCTCGGGCTCCTGGTCATGGTGAAATTAAGGGACTGTCTGGTAGGAGGGGTCTGTCTGAGGCGAGATTGATTTGAAGTGATGCTGTTTTGACCGCTGTATAGTTAGCCCGGAGGGAGTGGTTTTTTGACACACTTATAATGAGGGACATGTCTTCTACCTGGCAGACATGCTAATGCAGATCACGTTAGTTATCATTACCATAAGAGGAACAAAAGCAAAAGGAGCCGTTGTCATCGACCGCACATTTCTTTTTGGCACACAACATTTATGACTTCATTGGCAACTGCTCCATTTTTGAAGCAGGACCGTCCAGAATCGCCTAAAAATCACCTAATTTTATGTTCCTGTAACTCAATTGGTAGAGCTCGTTCCAAACAGCACTTGGGTTTGATTCTCCATCATAAATCAATGCACCATCATGAAATATATATACGCTAAACCTGCATAAAGTGTCGACCAAACGCACAAACTTGAGCATTTCTTGTTTTTGACTCTTGCAGTGACATCTGACGTTTGATCCTCCCCAGAGTCGTGCCTGTACTGAGGGCTCTTTAAGCTATCACGTTCAGACAAAGCATTCTGGGCAGCGCTAGGTGTAAAGAGATTATATACCGTATGTGTTTTATCCTCCTCGTGAATGTGACTGTCTTTGAACAATAAGGCAGCTTGCTGGCAGGAGGTTGGCCCTCTTTGCCCCCGGGGTGTATGTGGGGGTTGGGAAAAGCTGTTGGGAGTATAAAAAAATGAGGAGGTGGCGGCGGAAGGGGGGCGACCATGCTGTTTGTGTATTGTGTCATGACAGAGGTGGTGTGTGACATGAAGGGGTAAAAAAAAAAAAAAAAAAGGGAGTCCTAGAAGGCGTAAGTGGGGAGTGGGGGTTGCTGAAGAACCTCCGGCAGGAATGTGTTTACCTCACACGCCCTGCC